ATGAAAGAAATCACTTTGTAGAAATGTGTGGGTTTCAAAAAGACACTAAAATGTAATGAGTTTGAATATAAGTGTCTCTAGAGTAAATATTTCCATATTTATTACTGTTTCTATATATATCTATAAAGTTTTAATATATATATATATATTAATTAAATAGTATTTACTTTCTAATTTTTTATTTATTTTTACTTGTGAAAATAGATTATTTTTCCATGAGAAGTATCATATAGCATCAGATCTAAACTAAAGCTTCGTGTTAGATCCCATGAAAACAAAGTTCAAAACTTAATTACCCCAATTGAAAGTTCAAAACTAATGTCTCCCCCAAATCATACTTATAAATCTCTGAATCCATAAACATTGGTTTACTGTTTACCAAACAAATCACTAACCACATAAATACAATATCAACCGAATTTAAACCAATTACAACAGAAAAATCTTTAAACCAGACTAATTTTGACCAATTATCCCATACCAATTTTAACAATCTGATTTGTATTTCACGAACACTTCGGGAATTGTTCGGTTTCATGGGTTCGTCGGGGTCCGAGGATACCGTTTTCAAAGCAGGAGCCGGTAACTTGTAAAGCTAGAGGGGCCAAGCGGCTAAAACAGGGCAACGCCGGCTCCGGTTAAGGTTTCGCCGGCAAGCTTCATTGACTTAGCCTAATAGCCAGGGCCGGCTCAAGTATTTTATGAACCCTAGGGCAAAATTCAAAAAACAGACCCCTATTGAAAAAAAAAAAAGAATACCCCTAACATACAAAAATTGACCCCTATACAATTCACAAGTTTGAAAAATATATATTTATGTAAAATAAACACTAAATAAAAAAATTCATCTAACGGTTTCGTTGAAAAAAGAAATCTAAATGTTTATAAAGAAAGATATATAAATCAGAATAAGATAAATAAAATTTAGTTGCTGAACAAAAAGAAAAGTAATAAAACAAAAACCAAATCACATCAATTATCTAAAATCAAACTCTAAGAAGGGTAAAAGATTATAAAACTTATAGCCTTGAAAAGTTGAAAAACAATAATAATTTGTGAACTAAAAATTAGTTTTTGATGTAAAAGAGTAAAATTTTTAGAGATAAAAGAGAAAAAAAAATAAAAAAGAATTTGTTTGTCTGGACAACTGATAAGTTTCACAAAAAAAAAATTAGTAAATGTCGTTGTCAAACTTTTGGCCCAAACTAATTTATTTTTGCATGATTATTTATAAGGGCTTTTTTGCTATCTAACCATATTTACAAAACAATAGAAGAATATAGCTATGCTATTTGACAAATTAGTAAACTAATCATGGCCCACAATCAATTATCAAAAATAACCTTGTACTATATTATACTATATACTATACTATATATAATTTTATGGAATAGTCCTCTATTTGATATAGTATATATAGAAAAAAAGAGCAAGGAAGAGAAAAAACGAGAGAGGAGGGGAGAAGAGGAAAGAGGAGGTAAGGAGAAGGGAATGGGAGGAGGAGAGATGAGATGAGCGGAAGTGAGCAGAAGAGAGGAAAGAAGAGTATAATATAGTATAGTAGTGTAATCTATTAAACGAAGGAGTTTTTGGTATATATTATAGAATATATAAGGAATATAATAGTCCCTATATTGGTATGATTACTTTCCAAATTATAGGTATTTATATGGCTATATCAGCCAATTTCCCTATTTATAAATTGTTTTATATGTGATTTATTATGTTTTTACTAAGAAAAAATTTAATTAAAATGGACCCCTATTTTCGTGGGCCCTGGGGCATAGCACCGATTGTCCTCCTCTGTAAGCTAGCCCTGCTAATAGCTCGTCGAAGAGGTCAAGACGGCAACTTTGAGCTTGGATCTCGTCCCAAGAGGCCGATAAAGTGTTGGGTGTGACCAGGTCGATGAGTAGATTGGTCGAGAGTCATCCCTTCTCTCTCTGGATTTGTAGCAATGGTTTTGATTTTTTTTTCAATCTCCTTAGATATTAAATTTCGATCGCTGTGAACTACTTTACTAAAATGCTTTCTGACTCCCTCTAGCCAGTTTTGATTTTGTTGAAGGAGAGTTGAGAGATCAGGAGGAGAGAAGAAGAGAAAGGAGGCGAGAGGAAGAAGACGATCTTTTGGGTTTTTTTCCAATTTTTTGTAATAATTATAAATTTTTTATTTTTTCGTCATTTTGCATTAAAGCAAACCCAAATTGGGTAGAGGAGAGTTACATCTGACAATTTAAGCCCAATTCAAAAATAAAAGAAAACCCAATGAACCTAAACAGATCTACACCACATGGAATAACACGTGTAAGAGCCAATAAAGCCAAAGATCCACGTGTAAGACTGAAGATGAAATCGCTGTAATTTCACCGTCGGCGGATTCTGATGCCGGTCACCGACCAAGATAACAAATTGCTCACCACAAATCTGCAACGAAAATTCTGCTCCTTCCTTTTGCACATAGTCGCCGGGATAGAATGAGAAATCTTCAAATACTTATTAGAGATTTAACGCTAGAGTTATCGGAAGCATGGTGACAGAATTTTCACCAGACCACTTGAAGCACCATTTGAAATGCCAGCTCTTCCTATTCTGTTCCAGAACACCCGAAAGAAACTCCAAAACTCTCAATTCAAATATCTCCTACAGAGAAACTTTACTTCTAAAAGTGGATCTTTTCCATTGATGAAGTAAAGAAAGAATAATTTCTCTGAGAGATAAGAGATCAAGTCAATCCGATGAGAAAGAGATTAAACATCAACTACCAAAATTTAAAGATAACACATGCAAAAGGGAAAACAAAACAAAATTCGATATACGGAAATTATTAATCCGACAAAGCGGAAACAGTAGATCCGATTGAGCGGAAAAGGTAATATAAACATAAGATCCAAAAAATATATACAGCACGGCACCAGCGTCGGATTTACGCCGGCCACTGGCCAAAAAAGAAACTCAGATAGAAAAAGTTGTGTTAGAGAATTAAGAGAGAGAAAGAAAAAGAGAGAGAACTCTCTTATTTTTAATAATTGTAAATTTAATTTGGTTTAATATAAAATTTAATAGTTTGATATTTGGTTTAGATTATTAACCGTTTAAACCGACATATATAGGTTACGAGATTTTAAACCATCAATTAGGGAGATATAGATTTTAAACTTTGTTTGAGGGGGGTATAAGACGAGACTTTAGTTTGGTGCGGATCTGATGCTATATAATATTTTTCATGGAGAAATAGATCGTTTTCCTTTTTTATTTCAATTTTTATAAAATATTAAAAAAAATCAGAAAGTAAATGTCCTTGTAAGTTGTAACCGTTGTATTTTAGCAAATCTAAATCTAAAGAAGATATAGAAAGTGATTTGATGTGTTTTGGATTTTTAAATTCTTACACAAACTGTATACTTTATGGAGAGGATGTTGGTATCAAAGGGAATACAATAGAAATAACTCATGGAGTACCCAAAAATTTGTGGAGCCTCGACAAAACCTAAAAATACAAAATAGTTAAATGTGGGAACAACTCCAAAGTTGCTGTGTACTTGGTATTGGCACCTGCCAGTTACACATGCATGGCTGGAAAACTCTGATATTACATGATGTCTTATAGACTCATAAATCTGTCGGGACTTGGTTTCTGTTTTGACTTTACTTATGTTAGGATTTAATTGGAACTTCTGTGATGTTTTCAAAAATTTCTCTAAGAATTGTGTTATTTGGTTCTTGTTATGCTTGTGATGGTTTAATTATACTTGATTTAACTATAAACATAACTAGTATTGTTGATCACTGAATTTTGTGGTATGAGAAAGGAACTGTGTGAACTGTATGGTCTTAGGCAAGGGAAGCATAGAGAGCCAAAGACTCAGAGCTTTGTGTAATTAGGAGTGACACCAAATAACCGCTTGAATAGTGAATCGAGAGAGAGAGAACCGGTGTTGGTATCTGATTGATTAGATAGACAGCAATGGAGAATGCATACGGCAAGTACTTCAGCGGGACAGACGCGGTTGATAAGAGTGTCATTTCCGTCTCGACAATATATATGTGTTTGCGCTCCGCCATACCGTTGTGCTCGTGAGTATGAGGTGGAAAGGTGAGGTGACTGATATTGTGAAGTTCAAGGTATGCACGTAAGGCGATGAACTCGCCCCCGTTACCTGAATAGAGCGTGCCAATCTTCTGTTAAAATCGGTTCTCGACAAGGGGTTTGAAGGCCACAGAGATATTTTTTACATCGGATTTGTGATTTAAAGAGTAAATCCAGGTGTAATGGGTGAACTGGTCTATAAGGACAAGGTAGTATTGGTAGTTGTTGATTGAGAGTATTGGGGAAGACCAGAGACATTGGTCTAAATATATTAGAGTGGTTTGTTTGAGAGGATAGATGATTGTGAGAAAGGGAGTTTATGACTCTTATTTAAAAGACAATCCAAGCAAGACAAGAGTTTATGCGAGGAAGAAGAAAATGGGATTGAGAATTGCGAAACAGTAGATTTTAAAATAGAAAATGATGGATGACCCAGACGAGAGTACCATGGGGATAAAGTCGTTCTGGATCCTGGTGCTGCGAATAGAGGACAGCTTTATTTTGAGAGATGGACCATTCGTAGAGCTCGTTCCTAATGCGGTCTTGGAGTAATGGGATCCTCATGCTCAGATCCTTCACCTGAAATGATGCAGGGAAGAATTCGACAAAGACATTATTAGAGTTGCAGAGACGATAAACAGCGATCGAGTTCTTGTTTATGTCAAGTACACAGAGTATTTTATGCAACTGTAAGTCACAAGTATTAGAGGGAATCGAAGTGGAACCCATATGAGCAGGGGCGAAGCTACTTACATCACTATAGATGCAAGTGCACCCATTATTTTTAAAATTTTGATAAAATTTAAGCCAAAATATATCAGTGCACTCATTGATTTTTCTATTTTATGCTTATTATCTATGTATTTGCTAAAAAAGTGCCCCCATTAATAATACACTCTAGATTCGCTGGTGCCATCAGCAATCATCACATCTTCTCCTCTATTGTAGGGTTGATGGAATGCGATGTCGTTCAAGTCAGAAGTGATGTGATGATTAGTACCACTATCCAAGAGCCAGTTAGATGTTGTGTATAGGAATCCGATTGGAAGATTAGCTTTAGGCTGCCAAGGTGTGAATAGTGAAGACAAAAGCGTAGAGGATTGCATAGCCATAATTTTGAGATTTGACATTCTTTAAAAACTGTTTTAGCTTTTGTAAAGAATGTCAAATCTCAAAATATATTACTAATATCTTTATTATTTCTCTACTATCTTCAATTTTTCATACTTAGCGATTATACAAAGAATTTGGGACCGACACAATCAAATTTTAGTCAAGATGTGGATCAGGTAAGTCTCCCAAGAGAGTAACATTGACGTACTCATTAGGAAAGTGAGCAGGTAATCCCGGAATTAACAATACCACAACTCTAAAACACCTCAAGAACCATCCTTCTTTGTACTCATCACCTTCCAATAAGACATGATGAAACTCCTTATCAACTCCCAGAATGCGTTGATTATCTTCGGGATAGCCAATAACATATTGAAGTAGTTTTTGTTTGGCTCCTCTTCCTCTACCTAAACATAAAATCAAACAATAGCAGTGCATATGGATACTATTAGTAAGGGAAGTGGGTAAACAAAAGTGCGGGATGAAATTTTGCGGAAACAAGACAAAACTTCTTACATATTCAAGCTAATCATAATATTTTAATATTAAATAATAAAAATTAAAGAATAGAATAAAAAATATGAAAAAAAAAATATTTTTCTAACTTGCAATAAGTTTTTCTATCGATTTGAGTATATTTTTTAATATCTCATCTAGTACCATCCCATTCCATTCTAAATGAGATATGAAGTCTTATTCCGGTCGAGGGTATATGATATGAGTGATTAATTAAAAGAAACAAGATGCGAAGAACAGAAATTGTAATTTATTACTAACCTTTCCTCTGTAGAAACTGTCATAGAAAAGGCATGCCCCAAAGTGTTTGAACATGAGTGTTTTGTCGTCGAAAGGCAACCTAGGAACCATGTCGTTGCAATAAACATATCTTTCGTAGTTCACCTCAAATTTCTTCAATGAACCTTTCATGAACTTTCCAAACTCCTCGTCTCCTACACGTGGCTGCCCAAATGTGTAAACTCCTTCGAGCTTGTCTAGCATTTGCTCTTCCTCATGGATCATTAACACGGACGTGAATAGGATCGCTAGAGCTCCACCTAGGCTATGCCCGGTCAGGATAAATTTGCATGTTGGATTTTGGTCGAGAATCTCTTTTAAGTGACGCCTAATAGTGTAGTGTATGCATATTGAGTTGTTTCTTTTTGGGTTTGGTCAAGGTTTACTTCTTTAGGCCATCCTTCTTGTTGAAGGCCTAAAGCTTTCATGAACCCTCCATGGATCTTTCCCACATTCTTAATCTCGTACCTATTATGGAAATCAACATCGGTTTAATTAGAATAACCAATCATCAATGGACATAAACCGAATAAACACCAGCCTAACTAATTAAGAAAGATTTGTGTTTGGAGAATATATTAAAACAAAGGAAATAAATTTACCAGGAAAGATCCAAGTCCGTACACCAATCATCAGTGTCGAAAGGATCAGTTCCTCTGAAACTGACGATGATGAGGTTCGGGTCCGTGCTTGTGTCCTTAATAACAATCACCTCTGTTGACCGTTGTTTCTCGTAGCCTAAGTAACTCAAAGAAGAAAGAGTTACTCTAGTGAAAATCTTCTTAATATTTAATACAAATACAAATAAATTGAAAATCCTAAAAATTATGAATAAATTAAGGCATAATTTTATAAAATTATTTAGAAATTAAATTACTTATAATTCTCCTTCTCTCTCTTGCTTTCGCTATTTTCTTTTTTATATATATATTGCTTAGATACCCATTAAAATTCTACTGATGGAAGTGCTCTAAATCTTAAATTTAAGTTTGATTACTTATATAGTTAGCAAAAGGTAGGAGAACTTATTTACTGAGTAAAAAAAGAGAAATGTTTTCCTGATTTTGACCAAAGAACGGAGAATCTGATATGAGTTTGGGCCTTTGGGGTTAGTTTTCTTAGTCAAATAGCTGTGTGAAGAAATATACATGGCTTTGTAAGCAGCATAATTTTAAGATTTAACCTTAATCATTAAAGCAAGTATAGAAATTTAGTTAAATATTTTTTTGGAAGACACTGCTTGACGACATTTTTCTGTCAATCGGGATCAAATTAATTTTCTAGCCAAAAAAAAAAACAAAATATCATGGGTTAAAAAATGATTTGGGAGAATAATATTAGAAATTCCACCTGTCCGTGTGTTGCCAATGCAATTATTATTGGAAACATATTCATTTTGCTAAGGAAAAATAAAATATTCCGCATATCAGACAGCGTTTTCACGTGGTATATGTCTTTTTTGGACTAATTCAGTTAATTATATCTTTAATATAAAAAGGGCATTTGCACCCAAAAAAGAGAGAGAGAGAGAAAGCAGTCTCACCATTCCAACAGCTGTAGAAACCCAATAAGTCCATCTGTGCAAAAGATAATCAAAACTATATTAGTGATTATTGTTAATCTCTTTTTACAATGATCAGATTTTATTGTTTTTTTATTCAAAGAAAATCATGCATGATCATGGTTATGAGATAAAGTTTAATAATTCTACGAAATAAAGTACAGCTAAATGACAGTCTGCATTAGTTGCCGTATTTTTATAAGAAACTGTACGTATTTTACACGGTAAACAAAATTGGCCACAGGGATATTTCAATTAACTTATGTGTAATTTAGAAGAAACAAACCTTAGAAATAAAAGATTACTTTTGAACTAATCATCACTAATAACATTTTAAATTGCCACACCTTCGTTAAAACAAATAATCTCCTCTACGGTTGAATATATATACAATATATTATTTAGTAGGAAAATGACCTTAATAATATATTGTATATATATTCAATAAGATTAATCCAAAAGTCCATTTTTGAATTTTCATGTGCCCCACAAACTGTTACTGATTGATAGGCAAACCTATAATTTCCTTCATGAGTTGTGAAAATAATTACCAGGGAGTAATAGAGTTTTTGATAATAGTTAGTAAAAAGAGAAGAGTTAAACAATAAATAAAAACCTTCCAGTGGTTGTGAAGAACAGAGCTGACAAAGTTTATGTTCTCGTAAGAAAGCTTAGAAGCCATAATTGATAACATTGCTTTGTATCTTTTACTTCCTCTCTTTATTCTTTGGTCTAACTCTACTCGCCGGTCTAGGTTTCCGTTTAGGGATGCAAATGTGGCTGATGATTCCTCCGGCCAAATAATCTTTCCTGAAATAGTTACAAAATAATTACAAAAATAATAGTACAAATGTTAAACGCATAGGGTCGATTACTGTGTTTAATTGTATGTCTCAACATTCGATTAATCAGAAAATATTGACAACTCAGAAACATAGCCGTGCCAACTCTAATAGTTGAAAAAAAAAAAAAACTCTAATAATTGACAGAAACAAAAAAACAAAAAATGCCTTTAATTATAATAAATATCATATAATAATAAATATAATTATTATATAATAAAAACAAATTTTTTTTAATAAACTAAAATGTAGTTATAAAACTATTTTTTTCTTTTTTTATTGGTTAAATTTTTTAAAATCATCCGCTAATTATAGATAAAAACTATTTCAAAAAATAATAAAATAATTAAAAAAATAAAAAGATAATATTTTAATTTTAATTATAACTGACTGTTGGAGAAATATTAAAAAGTACTTTATACTAATAAATTTTATTTTTTAATGTTGAATCAGCACAAGTAGAAAAATGAACGAAAGAAATTACGTAGTCTAATTTGTTTTTCTTTATTACTCTAATTCTAAATTTTTTGATAACAGATTAATATCAATTTGACTTATTGTTGTTAACTTTTATTTTGTAAATCCATATTCATATTTGTATATTCATATCCAGATTAATACAATAGTACATTATAACTAATACAAGTAAAAGTATATTTAAAAAAAAAAATATTTGCTGCCCTAAGTACTTTTTTTTTTCTGCCCTACACCAATGTTTCAAAAATGGGTTAATTTGCAATCTAACCATATTTATGAAAAAATACAAGAATATAGTTATGCTATTATAAAAATATGAAAAATAACCATACCCACATTAAAAAGACCAAAAACTCCTTTTGTTTTAAACCAAAAATATATATAGAAAATAGTTTTGATTATAGCAAATAATTTTTTTTTGGACTATACTATAATATATGGTCTTACACGATAAAATTAATATAGTATAACACTTGAAATTTTAATTATATTTACTATACTATATTAAAGAGACGAAAAAGAGAAGACAGCGAGAGAAAAAAGGAGGAGGCGAGGAGAGGGGAAAGGGAAGGAGGAGAGATGGGATGACTGGAGATGAACATAGGGGAAGTGAGGGGAAAATGATGAAAGAAAAAGAGAAGATCGAAGGAGAAAGAAAAACAAACAAAGACAGTTTTGTATATATTGTAAAATATACAAAGAATATAATAACCTCTATATTGGTATAGTTATTTTCTGAATTATAGGCATTGATATGGTTACATGAGCCAATACCCCTTCAAAAATTTCCATATAGGCACGCCCCTGCTCAGAAAGCCCCTTTGGAGAAACTTACTACCTCAGTCACGCATAATATTTTGTGAAGAATCAATCATTCATACTAAGCAACAATTAGTTGTGTATTATCCTCATTTTGTCCATTTGATGTTTCGATGAAAATGAAGAAAATTATCGTTTGTATTTTATTTTTAATGTAATTATCGGAACTTATACCAATTAGTTTAAAACAAGAAAGTCAAAAGAAGATCTGACCTTTGAAAAGATTTGGGAGTATCATGAAGAAGCCATCATTGGAAGAAACAAGGTTGAGCCAATAAGCAAGAGAGAATCCAAACAAGTAGAGAGGTTTCCTTATGAGAATCATTAGTTTCTGAATAACGATGGTCACAAAGATGATCCATCGTCGCCGGAATCTGCAAAGATCATCCTCGAGCTTCCTCTCTTCCGAAGAATTGATGAACCTTCTGTTCCTGAGTTGCGAGCAGAAGAGAAGACGTATGAGATCCGAGGCGTTGGCTTCTCTCGGATCTAAAACAAAATAGTTTTCGGTTGTACACATTTTTTTTCTGTGGTTTAATTGTCAACGTTAATTTAGCTTCAAAACTTGGAAGATTTGTTTTGTAAGTTGTCATGTTAGCTTTGTGTACTTATATAATGTTAGAATAATATATTTTAATGTTTACCACGAGTTTATGCTTTGGAATGTTTTTTTAATTATTATCATTGAAATTTCGGTAATACGATGGTCTCAAAGTTATTTCATATTCGATTTTGGTTTATAAAATTACATTTTTGCAATTTTAAGAAGTATTGTTTCAATTTATCGGATTTGATTTTTGTGATTTCAAGGATTTGAATTTTTGTTTTATAAGATTTCATTTTCAATTTTACCATTATATCATATATTTAGATTTAATTTTTATTAGGGTTTAAAGAATTGACTATGGTTTAATTGTTTGTGCGTATGTTTTATTTTGTTAAAATATATAGTGATCAACCGTGCATATCGCATCAACTGATTAGGGCATAGATCAGTTGATTTGCATAAGTCAGATTTTTTTTTGTTTTTTGTTTTTTTTGTTTTTATTATTATTGCAAATGCTCTATATATTAAACATCAATTCTAAAGATATTGGGCTTAGGAGCCAGCCATTCTGAAAATAAATAGTTTACAAAGGAAAAAATCAAATGACGAGCTTGGGTGCTCTTAACGAGATGAAGTAAAAACTATAGAAAAATTATGAAAATTAGGGTGCAAAAACTCCAGTTCTTCAAGCTCTGTTGCTAGTGCCGGCTATTCTTCTTCCTCTTCAATCAAATTTACCAACTGTAAACAGTCCGTCTCAATCATCAACTCAGTAATCTGCAAAGAAATCAAAACTCTCATAGACCACAAGAGTGCTTCAAATTTGGCGTGAATCGGTGGGAGAATCTGCTCTATCGCCGTTAGCCCATATAAGTGGCTTCCATTTGCCAAATCAAGTATGAGACTCCCGCCTGATGTGTGCTTGTCCTTTACCCAGGATGCATCCACTTGGCAACGCGGTAACAGCGGTCTACTGTCCATCGGCCTATTCACGATCCTTGCTACTTGCGAGCTTGGCACCTGACTGGTGATTTGAATGTCTCCAACTGAGACATTCTGTGCGACATTCCATGATTCCACTTCTTGTATAGCGATTTCCAAAGTATCTGTTGGCAAGATGTCTTTGTTGTTAAAAACTTTCTCATTCCTGGCCTTCCATATGTACCATAGAATCCAAGGAAAAGCCTCCAAGAACTTTGCGGTTTCTCCTTGAGCTGTGACCCGGAAGAAAAGATGTGCAAAGTTTTAGGATATTATATTACTCGAGAAAATACCCGGAGGAGATGGGATTGCACTCATAGCCCATGTCTGTAGCGCTGGAGGACATTCAAAGAGTACAAAATTGGTTGACTCTATCTCTGCCCCACATCATTGGCATTGGCTGTCTGTCCCACAATGGCAGTATGTTAGTTGGCTGTTGGTAGCCATACTGCCCGAGAGATCCTGCCACAGGAAGTATTTTCTCTTCCGAGGGGTTTTTAGAGCCTATACTTTACTCTTTAGGGGGTAAAACTTGATTCTGTGACCGTTGGCAAACCTTCTTCGGCTTTCATTTGGACTGCCAGCTCGTAGCCTATTATAACGGAATACATACCAGATTTTTTGTAAACCCACACAAATCTATCAGGTTTATATGACCTACTTGGTCTGATGCTCTTTATACCCATAATATCTTCTGGATCAAACAATTGGTTAATGATATCCATTCTCCATTCAGATGTAGCTGGATTAATTAAGTGATGGACGTACAAGTCCAGGTCTCTCCCTGCTCCTATGTCCAAAACGGGTCTTGGTGGACAGGCCAATATCCAGTTGTCAAGCCACACTCTTGTGCTTATCCCAGAATTCATCGCTTTTCTCAAGAATTTTTCTAAGAGCTCTCTTGCCGCCATAATACTCTGCCATCTATATGATGGGTTATTGGCCTTTCCAATCTCCAGAGGTGTCGAATACCGGTAGTATCTCGCTATAAGAACTTTCACCAAAAGGGATGATGGATAATGTATCAATCTCCAGAGTCGTTTTGCTAGAAGGGCAAGATTAAAGCATTTAAGATCTCTGAAACCCAACCCGCCATTATCTTGGCTAACGCAGATTTTGTCCCAGGCGACCCAGTGCATCCCTCGATTATGTTGTTTTGTACTCCACCAGAATCTGGATATAACGCCACTTAACTTTTTCAGTAAAGCTTGTGAGAGGAGGAAACATGGCATGACATAAGTAGGAAGGGCTTGTGCTACCAACTTAATCAGAACTTCCCTCCCCCCTTTTGAGAGAAGGTTGACGAACCACACATTAATCCGAGTGCTTAATCTATCCTGAATAAAAGCAAAAACTTGTTTTTTTGAACCATATATTCTCTCTAGTAACCCTAGGTACATACCCATGCCACTTTCTTTGGATATGCCTAGAGCTTGTTTTAAGTCTGTCTTTTTCTCTGGTGGGACCTTACTACCAAAAAGGATAGAAGATTTTGCACAGTTTAGTCGTTGTCAAGAAGCTTTCCCATAGCAATCGATAATCTCATCAGTTCTTCACATTCTGTTTTGTCTGCTTTGCAGAAGAATAGGCTATCGCCTGCAAAAAGAAGGTGTGAGATTGGGGGGGGGGGGGGGGGGGGGCAAGTCTATACTACTTTGATCCCAGTAATCTTTCCTTCTGCTTCCGCTCCTTTAACTTGGGCTATTAGCGCCTCTCTAAGAATGATGAACAGAAAGGGAGATAATGGGTCTCCCTGGCATAGTCCTCTTGAAGGTTGTATGTTTCCCTTCGCCTCTCCATTTAGGAGGACCTGATATGACACAGATGAGATACACCATTTAATCCACAATACCCATTTCTCTATGAATCCCATTTTCTGCATCAATGCTTCTAGAAAACCCCACTCAACCCGATCATAAGCTTTACTAATGTCTGTTTTGATGGCTAAAAATTTTGACTTGCAGATTGGGTTTGTTTGCAGTGCATGGAATACTTCATGTGCCACTAGGACATTATCTGTGATAAGACGGCTAGCTACGAAAGCTGATTGATTCTCCGAAATCAATTTCGGGAGGAATTTTTTAAGTCTCTTACTTAAGATCTTCGATATAATCTTGTAATTGACGTTACATATTATAGGCCTGAACTCTCCCATTTCTACAGGTCTCGCTGTCTTTGGGATTAGGTAGATGTTTGTCTGATTCAGTCTCGGGTCAAACATATCTGTAGCAAAGAAATCTCTGACTACTCTGATGATATTCTTCGAGGTCACTTCCCAAAACTTCTGGTAAAACAAAGTAGTCATCCCATCTGGTCCTGGAGCTTTTTCCGGATGAATCTCAAAAATTGCTTTCTTAATTTCTTCATCCGATGGGTAACTCGTGAGTGCAGCATTTATAGCTGGAGTTACTTGAGCGGTAGTATACCTGGTACAAGACTTTTTGGGTCTAAACTGAAATGTCGTGAGCTTCTAATCAGTTATAGAATTGAGATCAGGTATCAATCCAATTGTGGGAGATGAGATGCAAACAATGCTGTAAGGTAAGCAAGATTTAGGGTTTGATTAAGTGAGATCAAGACTAACACCCTAATGATGCAATAAAAAGAAAGCATAAACTAAATGCAAGTGAACAAGGCTGAACAATAAACTTAAAGCAATGATTAAGACAAGTACTAAGCAAGAAATGACTACTAAAGCAACAACTATGCAAGATGACTTTGAAAACAATTGATGATGCGATCATCAAACCAGTAGCTGAACCAGAGATCCATCAAACATGCCACTCTAGCTACCAAGGGTTCGAACAGGATACATGTGCCTTTGATAGAGCATATCTAGCCAATCAGAAGGAGTTAAACAACAGATCGACATGTTCCAGAAGCTTCACTCAACAAGAATTCACGACGAATTTGAATCATCCAAATCAAGATTCTGATGAAGAATTTATGCATCTTAAAAAACCGGTGATGTCGAGCTTAACCCAATCAGACGTATGCGCATTGAATGGAGGATTCCAACCGGACCAGAAGGAACTAAGCTACAAACCGGATTGTTATAAAGTCTTAGTACAACAGAGAAGGTTCTCCAATTAGATTCATATTAATACCGGTTCAGACATGGAAGTTATTGATCCTACAAGAAGGTGGACTTGTTTCGGAGTCACCATCGTGACTACGCCAGATATCGAGCTGCACAGCCCAACTCAGCCACTATCTCCACCCGAGACCACTTGGAGATTCTTAATTGGTCTCTCCTGGTTCAAACAAGCCTAAGATAAGAAACTATGCCCACGGGGTTCTCAAGTTATGCCCGATCTCCCAAAACGGGTCAAGTTGGTTCTATTCCGAGAAAGTTCTATCATATTTGTTCTTCTTAGCCAACCAACATCCCATGAACAACGCCCACCTACTAAGCCAATTTTTAAGCCACAAGATTTCAGTGTTCAAAGAGCATAAAGGCGTGGTCAACCTTGAATATTTGGTCCATCCTCATTCACATCAAAAATCCATTAAAACTTGCTCCTTGATCATTTTAATTAATTTCTTTTATTTAAGTTTGAATATTTTGTTTTAAATGTATTTATTAAAATCATATTTTGTAAGATCTATAAAAAGCTCACTAATACTATTGTAAAAGTTACCAAAAAAGTATTAAGAAAAGCCCATTTTATTGTTTATTGAAGAGTATCTCTTTTAAACACTTGTTCCTGCGATTTTCTTAGTGTTTGTGGAATCAAACCCTTACATTTTCGTGTTGCAACTGACTGTCCATGCGAGGAAAAGCCCTTGGAAGTTAGAAGCATAAACCGTTGGTTGTAGAATCGATCAGCAACCCGTGTGTAGACTTTGGTGGATTCTGAGTCTTATATCATTGGTATCAGAGCCTAAAAAGCTCCTATACCCCATTGTTTTTGTTTTCATTCTGTTTTACAAAAAACAAAAAAAAAAGTTTTTGTTTGATTTGGAGACATGGGAGCTAATGAAGATTTCCTTCAAAAATCACAAAACACTCAAGACACTTTCAATCAGATGTGCTCCCAAC